GAAATGAATAAACTGGTTCATAAAATAAATGGGGATAAAGCATGCTTTCTAAAAAATTTTTATTTTTTAAATATATATTTTATTGATTTTTCACAGAGAGGAAGGGAGAAAGATAGAGAGTTAGAAACATCGATGAGAGAGAAACATCGATCAGCTGCCTCCTGAACACCTCCCACTGGGGATGTGCCCGCAACTCAGGTACATGCCCTTGACCGGAATCAAACCTGGGACCCTTCAGTCCGCAAGCCGACGCTCTATCCACTGAGCCAAACCGGTTTCGGCTGTCTTTAGAATTTCAAGCATTTCTCAAACTTTTGGCCTTAATTTGACTTTATGCTTTTAAATTTAAAAAGACCCCCATATAGCTTTACTTCAGGTGAGCTATGGCTATTGCTATTTTATTATATTGGAATTAACCTTAAAGAGTTTTAAAAATAATTATTTATTAAGAACAGTATGAACAATATATATTAATATATACACATATCTTTTAAGGAAAACCAACATTTTCAAAAAAGTGAAAATAGTGGCATTGTTTTACATGTTTGCAAACTCATCAATATGTGGCTTCAATATAGACCTCGAGTTGGGCTGTTGCATTAACACACCATTTGCACATTTGGCAAACTGCACTACATACTGTATGGATGAAAAAGATCATACTTTTTTTTCATAGAAACTTTGTTTCAAATAGATATTGGATATTCAAATAGATTGTAGAAATCATATGTTAATGAATTTATTGAAGCAGTTCATAAAGCACTACTAATGCTGTCTTAATCTTTTATCTTTTCTTTTGCCTTTCCTGTCCTCTTTTTTTCTCTTTTTAAGAGATTTTGTGTCAACCACCTCCACAAATAGAACATGGAACATTCAGCAATAGTCACAAGGATACATTTGAATATAATGAAATGGTAACTTACCGTTGTAATCCTTCGATTGGGCCAGATCAATATTCACTTGTTGGAGAGAGCAGACTGATTTGTTCTGGGCCAAACCAATGGAGTAGTGACCCTCCTGAGTGTAAAGGTAATGACATTTTTTTAAAATTTCTTTATTTGTAAATAGTATGGAAATACTTTGTAAATACTCAACTAACAAGTAAACAATAGCTATATATGCTATTCTGGAACTGTAGCCAGCAGGAGGCTTGGGTTGCCCCTGGCGATGGAGGAAGCCAAGCTTCCCACCTGCCCTGGCCAGCCCTGGGCTTCGCTCAAGGCTACAAAGTTTCAATTATAGAAGATAGATAAATCCCAGATATCTGCTTCCAGCCCGCCCTGGCCTCCGCTCACGGAGGCACTGAAAAAAAAAAGAAAAGAAAATAAGGAGAGACTGGGAGCTTGGGTTGCTGGGGGGTGTGGCCAGCCTGAAAACAGCCATCAGCCCCTCACCCAGGCTGGCCAGGCACCCCAGACCGGACCCCCACCCTGAAGGGGGTGTGGCCAGTCTGAAAACGGCCCTCTTCCCTTCACCCAGGCTGGCCAGGCACCCCACCGTGATCTGAGACACCCTCCAGGGCAAACTAGCTGGCCCCCACCCATCACCAGGCCTCTATCCTATATAATAAAAGGGTAATATGCAAATTGACCCAAACAGCAGAATGATTGGGAATGACTGGTCACTATGACACACACTGACCACCAGCGGGCAGACACTCAATGCAGGACTGCCCCCTGGTGGTCAGTGCGCCAGCAGGTGGTCATCCCCTGAAGGGTCCCAGACTGTGAGAGGGCACAGGCTGGGCCGAGGGACCCACCCCCCCGAGTGCACAAATTTCTGTGCACCGGGTCTCTAGTCTAATCTAATAATAGGCAAACATGCTAATTGACTGTACCTTCACTACACTCCCCATGGGCTAATCAGCATGATATGCAAATTAACTGCCAACAAAGGTGGTGGCTTATTTGCATATGTAGGTGCCAAGCATGGAGCGAAGCCCCTTGGCCCTGGGCAGGAGCAGCAAGCAAAGGCTGGCGTGGCGAGCGAAGTGTGAAGCCAGCTGCGCCGGTCCCGCCTCTGGGGCCCAAGCGGCGAGCAAAGAGCTAAGCGCTAAGCCCGCCGCACCAGCTCCGCCTCCAGGGCCCGAGTGGCGAGCAAAGAGCGAAGCCTGCCGCGACGGCCTCTCCTGGCGAAAAGCGAAGGCCTGGGTTCCGGGCACCATTGGAAAACTGGTGCCAGCAGCCAGGGGAAGGGGCTACCGAGGGACCAGACTGAGGGACCCACCCAAGTGCACCAATTTTTGTGCACTGGGCCTCTAGTCCTATATAATAAAAGCCTAATATGCAAATTGACCAAACAGCCGAATGACTGGTTGCTATGATGTGCACTGAACACCAGGGGGCAGACGCTCAATGCACAGCGGGAGCACCACTCAGCCAGAAGCCAGGCTCCCAGCTGGTGAGCACAGCGGTGGTGGCCAGAGCCTCTCTTGCCTCTGCAGCAGCACTAAGGACCCCTTGGAGTGTGTCTGATTGCAGGTTTAGGCCCGCTTCTCCTAAGCCAGCAGTCGGACATCCTCTGAGGTGTCCTGGACTCGAGGGCACAGCCTAGACTAGGGACCCCCCACACTAGTGCTCTAATGTTGTGCACCAGGCCTCTAGTTACAATATAAATATGAGCGATAGACTTGAAGAAGATATTTTGCAAAGCACATGTATATAGATCTCTGAAAACAAGTAAGAAAACAACCAATTTTTTAAAAATGGGCAAAATGTTTGAATAGACCTTTTCCACCAAAAGAAGATGTATGGGTGGCAAAAAAGTACATGAAAAGTTACTCAATGGCATTAGTCACAGAAATGTAATTTAAAAGCACAATGATATACAACTAAACACCTATTAGAATGATAAAACTAAAAGGGAAAAAACCATACCATTACAAAGATATGGAGTAATTAGATCTCTCATACATTGAAAGTTAAGAATCAAAGTGGTTATGTGTCTTTAAAAAAGCATTTGATGATTTGTTATAAAGTTAAAGATGCACTCACCGTTCAACTTAGCAATCCAAGTAAATTAATCCAAGTAAATGTTCACATAGAGCCCTATTATGAGAATATTTATAGCAGCCTTACTCATAATCGTCTCATATTGGAAACAGCCCATCTTTCTCAGTTGGTGAATGGCCAAACAACCATGGTGCATCCATATAATGGGATAATGCTCCGTAATATAAAGGATTGCGCATCTAATCTTACAGGTACAGAAGTGAATCTCAAATGCATTATGCTAGGTGAAATAAGCTGTACTCAGAGGCTGTGATCCCATTATGACATTCTGGAAAAAAGCATTACAGGGATAGAAAACAGATCAATGGTTAGCTGGTGGAAGGTGGTTGAGGGATGGGGACAGGGAGAGTTGATTACAAAGTGGCATGAAGGAATGTTGGAGGTAATGGAACTTTTCTATGTCTTTACTGTGGTGATAATTACATGGTTAGTATTTGTGTTGATCAAACCTCATTCAGCTGTGCACTTATAAGGATGAGTTTTAACATATGTAGGTTATATCCAGTAATTCTAACTTACAGAAACAATTTCTGTGATTAATATCAGTTCAGCACAACAAGGAATAGATCAATGAACTTGAAGTGAGGACAGTAGAAACCAGCCAGATGATTTCAAAGAATTATTTTTTGTTATATTTAGAAAGACATAACCTGGGGAACGACTAGCAGCCAAATATGCATGGAGAATAGCAAGGAGTCAAGCATGCATGTCATTGGAGTTCAGAAAGAGAGGAGAAACAACAGTATAGAGGATTATTTGAATAATTATCCACATTTGATCCATAACAACCACCCAACAAGTCCAGGAAATTCAGTGACCTTAGCAGGATAAATACATTTGAAATTTTACCAGGAACCCCCCTGCTGAAGTAACCAATCATGGTAAAACTTCTGAAAACTAACAAAAAGCAGCCAGTGAGAGGGGGAAAGCAACACCAACATATTACATTCTCCCCACCCAGAAGACAGCTGACTTCTCTTAAGGAACTTGTAAGTAGAAGACAATAACATCTACTAAAGTGCTGACAGAAAAACAAAACAGGACATCCCTCTGTCAAGGGAAAATATTGCTAACCCACTGGTCTGAGCGTCTGCCCCCTGGTGGTCAGTGCACGTCTTAGCGACTGGTGGAGCGGTAGAAGGA